TGTTTACAAAAGCAATTACGCCCAAATCTCAAATCAATCCGGAAATCCATACTTTTTGTTCATTGCCACCCTTTTCCACATTGCTAAGCGAGAAAGTTCAATAACTATTAACACTAACTAATTAACGGCGCCGGTGGTGTAGTGGTAAGCGTGATTACCTCTCACCCCAGCAGGCCTGGGTTCAATTCCAGTCGGCGCCGCCGGGATGTTCTGAGGCATAACATCTCTGATCACGCCTTCCTTCGTATGGGAAGTAAAGCCGTTGGTCCCCGGTTCATGAGTTGATGGGTCGATAGGTAGGGTCCAGGTGTGGGAGCTGCCTTCCTGGCGTCGGTAGCATTGGTGCTCAGCACGGAAAACAAGATCGACGGAAAACAAAATCAAGGAAAAAAAAAAACACTAACTAATTAAGAGTATGATAATCTTATGACATGATCATGCAGCTGCGATGGTGGCAACACTGTATTGAGTCATTTAATATATGGCCGCACTGTTTATTTTACTGCAGGGCTCCTAGCGGTTGGATCTGGAATGTTTTGACAGTAGTGTGTTTTGAAATGTTTCCTCTTTCTATGCTGAAAAGGTCGTACGATTCATTTGTTTAAAATAAGTTATACTTGATCTTCTTTTCTTTATTTAACGGCGGTCTCTTCCGCAAGCTCCGTTCCGCAATCCGTTCCGCAATCCGTTCCGCAATCCGTTCCGCAATCCGTTCCGCCATAGGTAGTATTGCTGCAGCGGCACTAGGTACTGCAATCCCGGACCGAAGAAATGACTGGTTTGACGGCGAATGCAAACTGTTAGTAGAGGAGAAGAATGCAGCACGGGCGAGAATGCTGCAACACCACACGAGATTGAATGTGGAGCGATACAGACAAGCGCGGACCAGACAAAACTCGGTTTGCCGAAGGAAGAAGCGTCAGCAAGAAGACCGAGATCGCGAGGCGATGGAAAATCTGTATCGCGTGAACGACACACGGAAGCTCTACGAGAAGCTAAACAGTTCGCGCAAAGGCTACGTGCCGCAAGCCAATATGTGCAAGGACGGTAACCTTCTCACGAACGAGTGTGAGGTGATTGAGAGGTGGAAGCAGTACTATGACGAGCACCTCAACGGTGAAGCAGCAGAAAACGAAGGTGGCACGGCTACAAACCTTGGAGCACGTGCAGAAGACGACAGGCTACCGGCCCCTGATCTTCAAGAAGTTGAGAAGGAGATCGGTCGACTGAAGAACAACAAAGCAACTGATGTAGACCAACTACCAAGTGAGCTATTAAAATACGGTGGTGAAGCACTGGCTAGAGCGCTGCACTGGGTAATTGCCAGGATTTGGGAGGAGGAGATATTACCGGAGGAGTGGATGGAAGGTGCCGTAAGCCCAATCTACAAAAAGGGCGACAAGTTGGATTGCTGCAACTACCGTGCGATCACACGCTACGGTGGAGTGCAGATGGATGACGGAACGTGGAGGAGGCGAATGAACCACGAATTGCTGCTGGGAGAACCATCCATCGTCCACATTGCAAAAATTGGGCGACTACGGTGGGCTGGTCACGTCGTAAGAATGCCGCACGACGACCCAGTGAAAATGGTTCTAGAAAGCGACCCAACAGGAACAAGAAGAAGAGGCGCGCAGTGGGCAAGGTGGATCGACCAAGTAGAAGGCAACTTGCGGACCCTTCGCAGACTAAGAGGCTGGCGAAGTGTGGCCATGGATTGAGTAGAGTGGAGACGACTTCTTTGGACAGCAGAGGACAACAAGGCCTTAGTCTGATTGGGTCAAGGGGCTCTTCCGCAAGCTAGTGCCATCGACGGACATCGATTGCCATCCGTTGATGGCAATCGAATGTGCAGGAATGCAGCTTCCACACCTGCGTAGCATATCGCACTCATTCAACACACATGGCCGGAACCAACGGCTTTACTTCCCTGCCGAAGGAAGACGTGACCAGAGATTGTTATGCCTCAGAAAATTCCAAGACGACCTCGGCTGGGATTAAACCTAGTTATACTTGATGGAAATACCAACCGAAAATTAATTTTTGACACCAACTTGGAAAATCCAACGTGGTCAGCTTCAAAAATTGCACAGTCGTTGAAATTGGCTAAATCGACCGTGTACAGGGTTCTCAAACTTGATTGGAAGCTGCATTTGAAGGTGTTGCGAACGGTTAAGGCAAACCGAGGGCCAAGAAATACAATGCCAGCCAGAGCACCGTCAGAAGGATTCGTCAGCGAGAAGGATTTCGATCTTTTCGATCCAGTAAGGATTGGTTCACTGGACACTGAAACAAAATCTAGTGGCAAAAAGACGTGTCCGGAAGTTGTACAATGAGGTTCTTACAAAGTACGAAGGATGCATCCTCATGGTCGACGAAACGTACGTGAAGATGGATTATGGGCAGCTTCCTGGACAAAACCTCTTTAAATCCACTGGTCGAAGTGATGTCGTAGCAAGTTCAAATTCGTTATTTGCAACTGCGGACAAAAACCCAGGTTTCATGACAAACAAGGCTAAAGATTCCATAATATACAGGCAGGAGTGCCTGAAGTTTTGACCTGATTTGGAAAGCTGCCACTTTGGTAAGTGGTATCGAGACAACGGGGTAGATTTCTTCGAAAAGGACATCAATCCACGCAACTGCCCTCATTTCTGCCCAATTGAAACATATTGGGCAATTGTCAAACAGAAGTTGAAGAAGAGTGGAAAGATGACTCGGGATGCGACAGAGATGGTGGAACAAAACGGCCGCTCAGGTTAGTTAACAGAGTGTCCAAAATATGATGAGTGGTAGTAGGCTATGGCACTATTTCATTTTGGGCCTATCGAGCAGAAAACATCAAATAAATCCACTGTTTCAGAGTTAAAAAGTCAATTATGCGTTTGGTACGATACTTAAGTTCAAAAGCGACCGAACGAAGGCAATGAGAACGGGTGATATAAGAGTTTACACAATTTTTTTTTTCAAAAACAGAAGAAGCGCTCCGACCGAATCATGTGTTATCTTCATCCGTTAGGCCGAAGTGAATTCAATGGCGTTTGAATGGCGTTTCAATGCATTAGGCCTAATTTTGAATCCGTAGGACGAGTTTTGGGTCAAGAAGCAGTGTTAGATTTTTAACAATATCTCAACAATTTGTTTCTCTTTAGCAAATCGGAAAGGTAAATAAATAGCCGGCGCCGGTGGTGTAGTGGTAAGCGTGACTGCTTTCTAACACCCCGATGGGTCTGGGTTCAATCCCAGCCGAGGTCGGTGGGATTTTTCTGAGGCATAAAAATCTCTGGTCACGTCTTCCTTCGGAAGGGAAGTAAAGCCGTTGGTCCCGGCCCATGTGTGTTGAATGAGTGCGATATGCTACGCAGGTGTGGAAGCTGCCTTCCTTCACATTCTATTGCCGTCAATGGATGGCAATCGATGTCCGTCGGTGATTGGCACTAGATTGCGGAACAGAGGCCGACGTTATAAAGGAAAAAGAAAGGTAAATAAATTTAGAAGTCATCTGCAGTGAAAACATTCCATTTGGTTCTCTCGAAAAATAGAGGCAAAGGGTGGGTTGTGCTAAGTAGGCCCAAAATTCGAGGAGCAGTTCGAGATTTCATCAAAAAATCGAAATAATTTTTTTCGCTGTTTTTCCTTTGCAATAAATGACCTTCATTTTGAGTACTCAACATTTTTATATCATTAAGACGGTTCTGAGATACAATCGTTTTTGTTTGCGTCCAGATATTAAATGACTCAAGCTTTAGTAACCATAATTTTTTAGCTTTATTCCACGCCCCAGAAACACTAATGTTGCGTTTTTAACCATGAATAACTTTTATTCCTTAAATTTAATCGAAAACTGATTGTAATCAAAGTTGTAGCTACGAAAATTTCATACAAGCGCAGTTAAAAATATTTTTAGTTGATAAATATGGTTAATTGTTTCAAAGATATGAACACAAAATTGCTTTTCCCTTTGTAATTCCCATGTACACTTGAGTGGTTAGTCAGTTCATAACTAAATGAGAATAAATTTTGAGAGGATGATCAGGACCCGATTGGACCGCTTTAGAAATGAGAAAATTTCAAAAAAATTGTCGCTCTGGTGACCATTCATTTCAAATCAATCACTAGACTTTTTTGTTCGTATTATAGTCACTTTAACATATTTTAGGTAAGGGGGATGAGATTTGAACTCGTGACTTTTAGTGTGCTATGCAAATTTACAATAATCTCAACACTTGGAATTGTGCAGATGCGAATTGATATATGTGAATAAATCTTCTATGGGTATGTGTAGAAACCACGTGGAAAGTTTAGGGGGACGGGGGTGATGTTAATTGTCCATGGACTATGGGAGGGGGTCTAAATCCTCTCATAAACTGTCCACATGGTTTGTGACGAATCACCTTTGCATTTAAACTGATTGTTCAATGACACATTTCCAACATCTTCAGAGCAAAAAGAAATCCTACATTCCATGACCGAATTGTATAGCACTATAGCAGCATTCAGGGTCATGAAAAGAATTCGCGTACACGCTTCAAAAGCTCCGTTATTTTTAACACACAATGAAGCATCAGCCTTAAAAAGAACAACGCATTTATCGTTTTTCAACTCACACCGATCAAAACCCCAACCAAATTTATCTGAGGCAGAAATTTTTCAGCACGTTTTTGCAACTCATCGCAGCCACACTGCGTTAGCTTGGGAACTCAATGACCAGGGTTGTAGTACTGTAGGGGATTTGGAAAGCTATCCGCAAACAAATTAACCGTAGCTGATTAGATAATCTAGCCACGATCAAGCTCATCCAACGGTTGTAGTTTTCTATGAATCACATTGGCGCGTATCCCACCGTCTAGCTCACGACTGATCGGTGGCAGACCTGTTCCGGCGAAAGCAAAGCGCATCTCGACTGGAGAAATGACCCACCGACCAAAACAAAGAGAAAAAATCCGTGGCGCGAAGAGAAAGAGAGCAAATAAACAAACTTATATATTCGATGAAATTTTGAGCCTAACAGTCCACGGTGAACAGTTGAACGAAGACAAGCTTCCGACCGGTTGATAATCTCTGCGCTTGTTCAAACTCGACGAACCAGCAAGTCGCGGTTTGTAGGTCAGTTTAGTCGGTGCGCGACAAAGAGTGAAAGTGCAAGAAAATAAGTAAACATGAAGTCACTAAGAGCGTCTGGTGTAGCGTTGCTACTGCTTGCGTCGATCCGGCTTAGCGTGAGTGATAATAAGCTCTATTAGATTACATTGTAGCAGAACACGAGGTGTTTCAAAACTAGCAATTATCAATTCACACACCTTGGTGCCAGCCGAATCATTTTGCTAGAGTGAAGTGCCTTATTTAATAGCGTTCTAACCACCGTGTGTTCGTTTTCTAGTGCGGGCAAGACTTCAAAGGCGCCATCGATCAGTGTACGAAGGAGTTCGAAATGGATATGGACGTAGTCATTTCCCTCAAGTACGGAGATTTCAGCGAACGTGATCCATTGATAGAGGTGCAAGAACACACTGTTTCCCTGTTTTCTTTAATTACTTGATCGATCAGCTCAGACGTTGACCTTATTGTTACGCTTCTAATTATAAATCAACCGGTTGGGGTACGTTGCTTTCATGAGTGGATGCTGTGGAACATAGGGGAACTGGGTGTAATACGCTCCGGTAAGGTAATATGAGCAATAGCGTGTTTAAACTGGGCATTCCAACTGATAGAATAGCGTATTGCGCATATTTTAAGTGCGACGAAAAGTGTGTAATCTCAAATAAAAATGCGCTTTTAAGTTGCATCGTCTTGGTTTAAAATGAGTCCAGTTAAAAATGCAAACTACAATATCATCTCACCACTTTATATCTCAGTAGTTCGTCTAGTGATTCTGGATTATTACTCCCAGTTCTCCTTAAAAGTTTATTTTTTCTATTACGAAGCAAGACTATATGTACGCTGTGGTGATCAACATAAATCAATTAAGGTTTATTGTAAATGTCACACAAGCTCCAGAATCGACGGTTGATGCACGTAATGTTCTTAGTATACTTTTCATTTACCATTGAACACTTACGTTTGGAATTCTGGTCGTATTCTGATCAACGATAATCATGATCTTAAGGTTAAGTTTAATTGGATTATTAAAATTTCTGAATATAGAAGAGCGGTACTGTTTTTATTTTTATTTAATAACTTTTCCTTCATTCTTGTTAATTCCTAGGAACTTCGTAGCATTGGTGAATAATGGAATTAACTTTTAGAGCTAAACAGCTCTTAGGGTTATTTACGTATTATTTACGCATGAATCTTAGCAGCATCCGCGCATGTATTAGCATTTTATCAACATCAAGCACACATATGACGTCTTCTTTTTCTTCTTCTTCTTCTTCCTCGCATTTCAAGCTTAGTGCTTATCGCATTTTTAGCTTACTGCGTGCTCTCAAGTTAGTGTTCTAGTTCTAGATGCACTTCCACAGTTATTAATTGAGAGCTTTCGATGCCTGTACCATTTTTGCATTAGTATAATTGTGTAGCAAGCAGAATCATACTCTATGCCCAGGGAAGTCGAGAAATTTTCCAACCCGAAAAATTCCTAGACCAGACCGGGAATCGAACCCAGCCACCTCCAGCATGGTCTTGTTTTGTAGCTGCGCCTTTACCGACTGAACTAAGGGAGGCCCCATACATATCACGTGTTTGTTTGTTTACATGCTGCCTGCTGGTTCTTCCATGCATTTCAATTGACAAAATTGTCCAAAATATTTGAAAACGTTTTTACTGCGCTTCAAACTTCTCAAGTGACTGTAACTATTGTAGGAAGCCTCTTTTTCTTCGGCAACCTTTCAATTTGAACTGCGTATTAGCCAGCTGTGTAGTGCGCTTTGTATGGTTATTTTGCTTGAAGACATGTTCAGGTTTTCATTCAAAACCATTTTGGAAAAGTTTTATCATTTGGGTTATCGTTCGGGTATGGTATGTTCAAATTAGGGCGTATATTTAATTTTATGAAAAACCTGGCATACCAGGTTTACTCAGTCGTAAACATGTAATCAGATTGAAACTGATAGACTAAGGAATCGCCAAGTGTTTTGGTGAGAAAATACAGTGAAATTAACGTTTAAATTTTGGATACCGAAAATAGCCAATGGGTGCCGAATCCGTCGTTTACCCTACATAATTTCTAAGTTGATCCTAATTAGTACCCTCTGAATATTTCAAATCATTATCTTGAAACCATTGCGAGACACGGCATTTGTGGTTTATAGGAATCAAGTCAATGATGGAGTTGAGAGCTACTGACCCATTGGAGCAATTCTATGGCAACTCGAGTAGGAGAAATTAACTTACGAGTACCTAATTCAGGCCCGACACCAAAATTTTGTGTTGAGGTAAAATACTAAAGAATAATGCGAAAAAATTGAATGCAATTTTTTTTGAAAATAACAAAACTTTATATTTGGATATCAAAAGAATACCTACTTGATTTTGTTTTTGTAATGCATTTAAATTTGTTTGTATTAGAATGGTATTGTGGGAACTTTTTTTTGGTATTTTGCCTCTTATGTCAGGCTAATCCATACCGATTTAAGGTATCGAGATTTCCGTTCCTGCTCGAGAAATGAGCAAACCCCGAGCAGGAACGAATATCTCGATACCTCAAATTGGTATGGATGAGCCTGACCAAAAAATAATACCAAAAAAATGTTCCCACAATACCATTCCAATACCAAATTATGTTAATGCAATACCAAAACATTGCCACCCAGGTATTCTTTTGGTATCCAAATATCAATTTTTGGTATTGACAAAGTATTTTGCATGTAATCTTTTGGTATTATTCTTTGGTATTCATGCTGGTCAATACCAAATTTTTTTATCAGAACAGAATTAGGTATTCATTAGTTATTTTCTCCTGCTCGGGACGACTCTGCTCGGTCCTCACCGATTTTGATGAAACTTTTGAAATGTCTACAGTATTGAAGATCATGATTTTTGTACAGGTCAGGAGACCAATTCTGATCACGACTAATAAAACTAATAGGGCGTGTGTGTATTCACATATACAATAAAAATGCGTTTCAACGAGTAAGTTTCAGTTGTTGTAGAGCATGCCTTAGGCTTGTTATAACGCTTATGTCACATTTGTCGTTACATAGTATGTGTTTGAAATATCATACCTGTAAATTTTGCTGCGATACTATGATTTCTAAGTTCATAAAATTCAAAATATCAGCATAGCATCGAATTAGTGTTTTCATGTCCCGGTATTCTTTGCTTCCCTTGAAACGAGAAACAGCTGATGGGCCTTCTCGAGTATTCCCGGGAATAGGAAAATATTTTTATTGAAAATTCATAAAGGTAATAAATTGAATTCATAACAGTCATTCATCAGCATGTTTTTGTTTCAACGATGTATAAAGTAGCGAATAATTTAATCATTCAATTTTAATATTTTCAATTCCATCGGAATAAGCTAACGGCGCTGGTGGTGTAGTGGTAAGCGTGATTACCTCTCACCCCAGCAGGCCTGGGTTCAATCCCAGTCGGCGCCGCCGGGATGTTCTGAGGCATAACATCTCTGATCACGCCTTCCTTCGGATGGGAAGTAAAGCCGTTGGTCCCCGGTTCATGAGTTGATGGGTCGATAGGTAGGGTCCAGGTGTGGGAGCTGCCTTCCTGGCACGTCGGTAGCATTGGTGCTCAGCACGGAAAACAAGATCAACGGATAAAAAAACAAACCAAAGGAAAAAAAAAAATTAAATTCGGTCGGAGTTTTTTTCCGACTTTTCCGGATTTTGTTTAAGACCGCACATATAAAAATATTTTTTAATTTTCAACTACAAACTGGGGCAAGCTTGTGAATATTAAATTACACGTTTAACGACCAGTAAATCAATCCATTAAAATTTAAATTCACTGTTGGTTGTAAATTCAATTAAATTCAATTGAACTTTTCACTGCTATGTTTAAAAACTGCATGTAATATTGACCATAAATTAATGAATTATTAAATACTTCCAGGCAGTCTGAATTCCACATAAAAAATTTGGTTTTTTCCTTCTTATTTTCTAAAAATGCCATTCAATTTCTGCCAGAAGTTGCATAGAATGCTATTCAGTTATGGTACTGGAACTTTCACGTTCGTTAAACAACATAAAAATGAGGCTGCTTTGAATGCTAAAGACCACCTTCAACCAAGCTGCATAATCTTTAAATAGCCTTTAATCAGAACTTTTGGGTACTTCGGTAAGCACTTCAATTTTTCAACCCATGTGTAAAATTTCCCGCTACTTCCCTTTGACTACAAAGGGGCTTTCAGTATAAGAATCACAGTTAAATATCGTAATAACTTTTTGTTTCCAGCTCACAATCTTGAAAATTGAATATGTCTAATAATAGTCTTTAATAATAGTTTTCATTGAAGTAGATGGTAACCTCTTTCTTAAAACTGCCATTAATACAATTGAATGAAAATGTATATACCAATTATTAATTTTCCTACGAGATTTTTGAAAAATAAAACGAGCTGTCTAGGAGATTTTCGGTTCTTTCAGTCTTCTAAGCAGCAAAAATTTATTTATATATTTATTTATTTATTAACTCGTCTTCGTACAAAAAAAAAAACAGCTTAGTTTCTTAATCTAGAGCTAACACTATTTTTAAAAACGTTGTTGATACATTAAAATTGTAGTGTGAAATTAATTTAAAATTTAAATTTTATTTTAATTAAATTTTGATTAAATAATTTTAATTAAAAATTTAAAAAAAATTAAAAAAAAAATTAAAAAAAAAATTAAAAAAAAATCACGAGACTTGTTAAATTGTGGATTATTTTGCCCGTAGAGTGTTCAATGTTGAGAAATGAAGAGAAGATCATTCTGGCGCGTCTGTGACACATTTTACCAGGATGTACTCTCGTTTTTGCCTGACGCAATTTTGTAGTTGTTGTAACTTGTTAGCTTTATAGCTGAAATTTTTTTTATTTAAAATAGCCCACAAATATTGTTGCAGATTTGGAAAGTGTTTTTTTTTCCTTGATTTGATTCCCGTCGATCTTGTTTTCCGTGATGAGCACCAATGCTACCGACGCCAGGGAGGCAGCTCCCACACCTGGACCCTACCTATCGACCCATCAACTCATGAACCGAGGACCAACGGCTTTACTTCCTTTCCGAAGGAAGGCGTGATCAGAGATGTTATGCCTCAGAACATCCCGGCGGCATCGACTGAGATTGAACCCAGGCCTGCTGGGGTGAGAGGTAATCACGCTTACCACTACACCACTGGCGCCGCTATTTGAAAAGCGTGATTACTTATTAATTGTCTTTATTTTTGATGTTACTGAAAATGAGTTTTCATTTGAATATTACTTATATTATTATTTTTATATTGGAGCCTTCCTTAGCTCAGTCGGTAAAGGCACAGCTACAAAGAAAGACCATCCACTCCATCGGGTTGGAAAATTTCTCGACTTCCCTGGGCATAGAGTATGATTCTGCTTGTCACACAAATTATACTAATGCAAAAAATGGTACAGGCATCGGAAGCTCTCAATTAATAACTTTGGAAGTGAATCAAGAACACTAAGCATGGAGCACGCAATAAGCTAATATGCCATATGCAATAAAGCTTGAAATCCAAAGAAGAAGTAGCCTTTTTGAGTATTGACAATGTTGTGTATATTTATTAGCATATTATTATTAAAAGTGCTTATGAGTATTGACAATATTTTTGCAGGTTTGATACAGGCCGAATCGTCCGAATGATATGAGTTTATTCAGTCACAGCTGATCGATCAACCCATTTTTGTCTTTAAGGAATTAATAATACTTTCCCACCTCCACTGTCTTGCAGTGTTTCACCGAGTGTTTGATGAAGCGATCAGGATTCATGTTCGATGACTTCACGTACAACAAAACGCAAATCATCGGTTTTGCTGGGCGCTACCTGGAACCCGAAGGTGTAAGTGGTGACTTATTGCATATCTGGTGAAATTCCCAGCCCAATCTAATTGTGTTTACATATGTTTGTTTCACTTTTTCGCAATCTATCATATAGGCTCAGTACGTGTACGACAACTGTGTGGATAAATTTGGAACGACGGTATGCGTGACCGGATTCGAAATGTACCAGTGCATACACGAAACGGCGGTTGCCGAGTGGGTGGAAAGTAATTTTTAGTGTCAGCATAGCACCAGAGAGGGATGTGGAAATGAAGATTTTGTGAGCGAGAATGAGCTGCTTCAAATGAACTGTGACTCTTCGACTGCCCATCGAGTATGTGCTTAAGTTTTCGATTTCCTTTTGTGAAATTTATTTAAGTTTTGTGTTTTACATGAGTTGTTTATTTAAGTAATTTATTTATTTATTTATTTATTTATTTATTTATTTATTAATTTAATTATTAATTCTTAGAGTACCACACTGAAAATTACATCCACGCTTTTATCACTTGCATGTATGTCAAATTTTAGTCATTCATTTTCTAATGTATTTATAGATTACTTCAGAAACATCGTAAAATCATAAATCTTTGAACCGTCCCATGCAGCAAACTGCCATCAAAACAAGTAGCTGCAACTTGATTATGACTGGAATAAGTTGCACACAAGTAACCACCATTGCTCAGTGACAAGTGTGTTGCCAGTGGTCAAATGCGAATTATTTTTTCAACTAGCTTCTCTGCCAATTAAAAAAAAAAAAATTAAATCGTAAAGTGAACTAATCATAGAGCCCGTTACAATGTGACAAGCTCAATTATAATAAAGATAAAAACATCAGAAAACCGTTGAAAATTACTGCTGATATTACAAAAATAGCGAAAAGTATGATTAAGATGTGGTGCTCAGAGAGTTAATAGCAAGTTATTTTATTGTATTATTAGCAATTAGATTTAGATTTCATTAGTTGTTAGATTTTTTTTTTGCTGAAGAATCTATTTAAAGTATATAGATGTGGAAAATGTAAGGTTAATATTAATATTGAAAGCTTTAAATAAGTAAGCAATAAACTTTCCTCAGTAACATGTAGCTTTCCAAAAATACAACGTTCGAAGCAATAAATAAAAAAAAAATTCTGTGGCGGCGGTGGGGAGGGGACACCCCTCACCATCCCTCTCCAAAGGAGGAGTTTGGTAAAGAGAGATGAAAAAACCGATTTGTACCTTCCTTAAAAGTTGTCCTAGCTCGCTATTCTACTATCTATATGCAATTTTCACACTGCCGTACTCTAACGGAACTATCAACGCTATACTTTCATTTACTCCATCTATCGTATAAAAATTACCACTACAGTCTGTTATTTGAAATTAGCATCTTCAACTATGTAAAACAATTTTATTTTTTAACAACACCACGATCCTCAAAGCGAACCTAGTAAGTTTTTTTTAAGTATTCTCTTTTACACGAGGTTCAACTTCAGTCTTCACTGTTTAGAAATGGCATTGATAAAGACTGTCCCACTATACCGATTAAAAATATAACATTTTCACTCCACACTACTCAAACAGTTTGTAATCAAGTATTGATTAGCTTCTCGAAATTTGAACTCATTTGGTAAGCAAACCATTTGAAGTTTACATGGAAATTACTAAGGGAAAACCAAACTTTGTGTTTATTGCCTTCTAATATGTTTCAATTTTGCACTGTTAAAAAGTTTTTAAACTATTCGTATTGGAAATTTTCTCAGCTGAAACTTTGCACAAGATTGTTTTTCAGCCAAACGTCAATTTAAATAATTATTGATTGCTTAAGAGATTGATAACCCTACGACATGTTCAAGCAGCTACTTTGTGGGTTATACTGCATTCTGTTCTATTTTACGTTGCATGTGCCAGAAACACCTTCGTAGCCTACTGAGCATAATCATTAGACATCAGTGACTTGAATTATTAATAACTTTTGTTCCTTCCATTTAATTAAAAAGTGATTTTGAATAAAGTTGTTTCTGAGAAAATTACCTACAAACACAGTTATCATTTTTTAAAGCTGGGCGATATGGTGAAGTTTTATATAGAATTAACAAATAATTTGCATCTACCATAGTAGTTTCCATATAAAATTCAAATGGTTTGTGGCAAGTCAGTTTCTTACTAACTGAGTTCAAATTGTGGGAGTCATATCCAGGGTTGCAAAATATCGGAAGGGAAATGGATGTTATGTTGGCCTAAATGCCCCTAATTTGGGCCCATACATAAATTCAGTAATCGACTAAATTTTCAATAGCTCTAATGTTGGCCTATGGATCAAAAATTGGGTCCATCGCTAAAAATCTGCTATTTATACTTTTTATTTAGATGAACACTTCATTGGGACGGTACTAATGGATATTGTTAGTCGCCATGGAAAATTTAGTCGATTGCTGAGTTTTTGTATGGGCCCAAATTAGGGACACTTAGGCCGATATTACATCCATTTCCTCTATCACATCCAGAACCCCTCAGCTTCAATGTTTACTATTACCTTTCAGTTGTGCTTTTTTATCCAAGTTCATTTGTCGACTTATGGCCGGTGATGAAATTTTTTTCTGAATTTCAATCTGTATTTTCACAGCAAAAATTATTTTTAATCTGTATCTGGATGACAAAAATCTGTATAACTTATTTATAATGATCTCAGTGTGGATTTACCTAAATCTTCGTTGAGTTCCTTCATAGTTCATAAAGAGTTTGTTCAATGTTTATAATTTTAAAATCTAGAAATCCTACAATCTTGATTTTTTAAAGTCATTTGTATCGTTTTACAAGTCTAAAAAAACAAAAAACAAAACAAAAATAAGTAGTAGTAGTGAGTGACAAATCTGCTTCCGACTTAAAATTTCCTTGGTTTGCTAAAATGACTTTATTACCGATTTGACAAAAAATATATTGTTAGTTAAATATCGTATATGTCACCATGTGATATGGTTAAGTAAACAAAAAGTAAGGGAAACTAATATCCCTTCCAACGCGACACCAGAATACATGAATATCAGAAATCCATTAAAAATGTTTCAAGTCCATTAAAAGTTAATACAATCTTATTTTATGTAGAGAAAATGAATAGTGAATTCAAGCTGCTCAAAAGGAAGAAACGATAATTTATCAGAATAAATAAATATAAACAATTATATAAAATAAATTCTCCTTATTTGAAAAATCTGTTTATTTTTTCAAAAATCTGTAATCTGTATGTACAAATATCATGCAACACAATACTAAAGTTTAACGGCGCCGGTGATGTAGTGGTAAGCGTGATTACCTCTCACCCCAGAAGGCTTGGGTTCAATCCCAGTCAGCGCCGCCGGGATGCTCTGAGGCACAACATCTCTGATCACGCCTTCCTTCGGATGGGAAGTAAAGCCGTTGGTCCCCGGCTCATGAGTTGATGGGTCGATAGGTATGGTCCAGGTGTGGGAGCTGCCTTCCTGGCATGTCGGTAGTATTGGTGCTCAGCACGAAAAACAAGATCGACGGAAAAAAACAAACCAAAGGAAAAAAAAAATACTAAAGTCTGTTCCATTTAGAATTTGGCCGCACGAAACATGTCATTTCTCCAAGGGAAAATAAAGTACATAAACGCTAAAAGTATCATTTTGTAGGATTTTTACTTTAAGGGAAAAATACAACAAACATTTTTCGTCAGCTTTTCGGATGAATTTTCGAACTTTTCGCAGAATACCTCTCATCGTGTCTTGCACAGTAGTACTGTCAACCTCATCTATCATCCTGTTTCACCCCTTCTCCAAATCAGATGGTGTTTTGATTGTTTTGCCACATTTCTTCAATTAATCATGTTTTGTTGTTTTTGACATCATCCACATCCAGAGGGCCAGTCACTTTCAAATGTATGGGAATGGTAGGAAACCATTTGGAAATGCATGAAAATTTTCAGTTTTTATTCATTATCGTCTTTATGAGCAGTTTTAGATGCACAAAAATTGCACGAGTACATTACTATGGTGATAAGATAAACACTCGTTTATTTGTTTCCTTCTGTGAAAGCATGTTTAGTCACAAATCGTGGATTTTCTGATATTCTCCATACTGCAAAAATGATCTTCGGTATAGCTACTACTCAAATCATATAATTAATTTGCACTTGATAATTGCCCAAACATTTTCAATGGGACGAAAATCTGGACAATTTGGTGGAAAAGTATCATCTCAATAAAATCGACATTATTCAGCTTATACCATTCTTTGACATCGCGGCTGTAAAGGCAGCTGGCTAAGTCAAACCAGAACTTTACGGGACCTTCGTGTGATTGAATGAACAGCAAAATTATGTTCTGGAGACTCTCCTCCTTGTAAGGTTGTCCATTCATAGTCGCTCCAGTGATGAAAACCTTTGTTTTCTTTCTGCAAAGACAAATTTGAATTTATCCGGAGCATCCTCCTTACGTTTAACAGAGTAAAATTTTTGGCCCGGGATTTGTCCAAACTCCATTTTAACGTAAGTTTCATCGTCCATCAAAATGTGAGTGTGCAGAATTTTTTCACGTCTATCACGTTCCATCTTAGATTACTTTTTAACAAGTATATGAATCCTAATGATCTTTCCGGATCAAAACGCTTTTATTAGTTTCTTGCTACGACAACTAGAGGCGCTACAGTAATTTAAAAGAAGCGGTTAAATACTATCTGGAACAGACTTTATATACAGATATCTGCATCAAAATATTAAAAAAAAATCTGTATGTTTACAGATAAATCTGTACATGTGGCTTTACTGCTTATGGCTCATTTCGTCAGCACCGATTCAAGTCAATCCCTGCGTCACTAGCTGCAGCTGATGAGCTCCTGCACTCGTGTTGAAATTATTCATCTACATCGGGTCCGATTGACTTCAATGAGATCCATACTTACTAATTCCCGGATGCTGCTGGTGCTACTGGATGTGGTACCGAAACCACTCAGTCCACTGGGTCACCAGGAATTGATTCGATTAGCTTCATTCATTTTTGGTGTCCACCACAATTGTCACGATATTTTCGACGTTCTATCTTAAACAGATTTCCGATCCGTAGTCCCTGAGTACGATCCTTGTTTAGTTGCCGGCTTGACCGCCTCTACATGTAGAGTAAATATTATCGGAAGTTAGTTTTGCAATGCTATGCACAAAGCTGCAATATTCAACACGAATAGACCACTCACTGTGAATCACATCAATTACGTAACGTAACATTGTGATTTTATTCCGCGAAAATTATTTCCACAACACGAAAAACACTCCGCGCTCTTCCAAACCGATGTTTGTTTTGTTTTTTTTTTTTCTTCAATTACTTTCTTGAACGTCATCACTGCTTGTCCTATTTATTGTAAAGCCCTACAGTGAAAGTATGGACGACTGTCACCACAAAACTGAAAAAAGCTGTTCCAATCGAGCAAAGCGGTGCATTTTGACGGTTCGATTGGAAC